CTCCCAAATTAGGAGGTTGCCACTGTACTTATGTGTATAATAACGTAGACCCAACTAATCGATTATTAAATTAGTTGGCAACTATTTTAATAATCGACTTTAATCGATTAAATCGATTAGTTGTTGCAGCCCTAATCTAAATAGATCCTTTTTACTAAGCCCATAAGTCTGACGTAGATGATCAAAGCTGACCAGTCTCCAGTTTTTAATTATTTTACATAAAGAAGTAATGCCAGTGAAAACCCACTGTCTGTATCTAAAATCATATAGTGCCGGCTTAAAGTCAGGGTCATATGCCGGCCATTTGAGCAATTTAATCTGTCTCTGAAGTTGAAAACGTTGAACAACCTCTAGCCATATTTTCAAAGATAAATTCACCCATTTACTGCCTGTCGGTGCATGGTGTCCCCCATTTCCCATCAATACACCCTATAAATGACTGGATTGGTATGTCTGTTAAAGAGGTCTCTATTGTCTTCCATTTAGCTTCATAAGAAGGATCACACCAGTATACCAGGGGTCTCAACTGGGCTGAGATGTAATAATCCTTTAGCGATGGGAGGGCCATGCCTCCCTTTTCCCTTGGTAACTGTAGTGTGGAAAATCTTACCCTAGGTCTCTTATTTTTCCATATAAACTGTGAAATATGCATATTTCATTCCCTAAATTGTTTTGCGGAAATTTCTATGGGAAGAGATGAGAACAAGTATAGCAATCTAGGGAGGATATTCATCTTAACATATCTGATTCTGTCACCCAACTCAAGAGGAAGAAGACTCCATCTTCTTAAGTCTTCATATATTTTTTTATTAACCCGGCTATAATTAGCGTCAAATAGCTGTGATTCATCTTTAGTCAAATAAACTCCTAAAAATTTAATTTTATTTGAGTACCAATTGAAATTATACCTAGAGATAAATTCCTGTGTCGGTGTGTAATTGAATGTCATAACCTGGGTTTTACTCACATTAAGAACATACCCCGAAAACATCCCATATACTTCCAACATGTTCATTAAGACAGGGAGACAAGAATCTGGATTCATTATTGTAACAAAAACATCATCTGCATACAGACTAACTTTATATTCATCTTCTCCAACAGACTGGCTCTTTGATGCCTCCCTGTGGTTGTAAGCGAGTTTTGGTCGGGCATCACGCTCCAACTGGAACATCTGGCATCCAGACTGTGTTATGTCTCGTTTTTGCACAGTAAAACCAGCTGCGTAGATGCCAGCCAGTAGTGCTGGTCCAAAACATTTATTGCGTATTAAATATTTCTTTTCCCAATTACTTGGTGTGCCCAGACCCACATCATGAAATGGGTGAAAAAGGAAGGAAGAAGCCGGAGGAAAGAGATGTGTAAGGAGAGACTTATGGTGAATGACTGATGGTTCATGAGTAAGGTCGCGATATTTCCCTGTGCCAACCCAGAGGAAAGAGGGGGTGTCTATCTGGACAGTGGTGCAGGGACAGGAAAGGCAAGGGACCCTCCGGCTGGGCTGATTACATAGTACATCACAACAGCAAATCTGTTCCATTTTATGTATTCTGTTTTTCACAGTTAAGTGAAAATAAAGGATTCATGTTTATTAAATTCTCTATGTTGATATTATTCATTTAGACATCATGCCAAAACAATGGTCATCAATTTCACCATGTCGGGCGGACAGAGAATGAGATAGGGTTTGCCTTGGTCCACGGAGACTTGCACCAATTACGTACTCCTTAGAGTCAACTCACAGATGTTAATGTCTCCTTTGGGTTGATTGAAAAGTTCCTCAGGATTTGCTGGCCTTTCCCTGACCTCCAGTGTACGTCCAACAGAAATTTATCCTAATATGCTCCAGAATGGTGTGCCAGACCAGAAATATTATGATCCTGTTAGAAACGTATGAGGTACATGTGCATCAGGGCATGTGTGTTGAATGATTCTATAAAAGAACTATAATTTAACCTTTACTCATTGTTGAATGATCAAGTCTATTTTAAAGGTATTTCTTCTAAATATGGGACAAAAATGTTCAAGATTTTAAATGCTATACCATGAAGCCTGTCTCTCCACCACCATTTTGAGGTCATCATCCCAGAATTCTTTGTGGCACAGGCTGATGACGCCAAACTGTGCACACGTCAAAGCAGGAGGGGAAAAGCAAATACACATTCATGGTTTTTCCGATGCTCTTTTTCTGAAGAATAATTATACACTAAATCACATCGGCTTAAGTTAATTGTAGCTAGTTACTGCCACCTTGACTTTAGCATGCATTTGTTAGCTAGTTACTCACTTCTAGCTTTTAGAGACTCATTCCACAGACTGGCCAACAGCTTATTTCACAAGTACAGGTTAGGCCGCGCTTCATAGAGCACAGAAAAACAGGGGGAAGGCAGCTGAAGGGTAACAGGCCAATGGGGAGAGCCGATTGATCAAATCGTAAAGCTATTCATCACAGATGATGTCATGAAAGCAAGCGAGTAACAGGAAAAGCTGCATTCATTGCGTTTATTTAATAACATTATCGCCTCCAAACAGCCCCCCCCCCCCCGCCTCTCCCCCAACCTCGTTAGCCCTCCACTTTGGAGGCTTTAATCCTGAGGGCGAGATGGTTCTCACATGACTGCCTCCAGCCTCCATCAGCAGCACTGTCAGCTCAGCCGCTCCACAAAGATGCGTCAAGGTTATGGTCCGTCATCACATGGAGGCACAGTGCAGTCCGCTGGCATCAGGTAAGTGGGTTAGTCATGCCTGGTTGTTTACTTTCCTTTGTGTTTCATGGTCATGCGTGGAATAAAGCCAGAGAGGCAGCACCTGCTGTCCAAATTTTTTTATTTTTTTTGCAAGACCGTGGGCAAAGCCGGGGAAAGGCTTCCGTCAGTCGCCTAGCAACGCCTCGCATCGTGACTCTTGCCCGGGTACAAGGAGTCACTGCCTGCCTTCATTTTGATGGGAGCAAACACAGATCTCAGCATGAGTCATATTGAAAGCCGTCAATGAAAAGTGGAGCTTCTTTGGAAAAACCAAGATGATGTAAAACCCTGAATCATTTGGGGTATTTTTGGATACACAGTGTAGCGCAGGAAAAATGGCATGTTCAACAAAGAGGGAAAAGAGGAAGTGATGTAAAATCTTTACTTGCGGAGAAAACACATCATCACTTTATAACTGCTTATCCTGGAAACCTTCACTGGGGGGTGCAGTCTATCCCAGCACACAAGTTTATTCCAAGACACACAATTTTGAACAATTTATAAGCCTAGATGTCAGTTAGCCTAACCATACATCTTTGGCCTGTAGAACATGCTAACACACAGAGTGGTGGAAATTTGCTCGTCTCATTCTCGGTGCTATTTCACCTCTGCAATGCTCTTCTTGTGCAACACTCTGTAATTATGCAATGAATTTAAATGAAAGATGTTGTGGACTTTGCCACCCTTAAGCTGACAGTGTGATAGATAGGGGCTCCCCCGCTAATTGTGTCATTTGTGATGCTTGAGGGATTTTGTGATTTTCACAAAGCAGCATGGGTGGAAATTATGGAGGTGGATGGGGGGGGGGGGGGGGCGCGGTTGTAACCCTCCCCCAATTCAATATCTTGGACCCCCTTGAATGGGTGGAGACCTCAACACCCCCCCTCCTCCCAAAGCTCCTTGGATTTTAACTGAAGGAGTTTATTAATCACGGGGGAAATTTAAGTTAATCGTAATATTTCACCATAGGTGCGTTAGCGGCCTCCCGCGTTCTAATCAAAGCAGCAGCGTTTCGCTCACCACGATCTGGCAGCACCGTACACCCTCTATTGATTGGCCCATTACCTCTTCTTCCAGGGAGGCTAAGGCTGCCTAAATGTTGGCACTGGCCTCCCCAGTAAAACAGCCAGCCTTCCAGTTTAATCATGATTTTATTTGCTTTATTTCCTTGATTACATCGCTTGTGGAAAAATGACTATTAAAAACGATTATGGCATTAATGTCACTTACAGTTGAGATTCCAGTTTTATTACTCAAATGTTTCATTATGCATTTATATAAACCCCTAAATTAGAATAAAATATTATATGATTGAATGTACAATTACACAGCCCCAATTTAAAAACAAAAATAATTCAGTTTAGAAACTCTTCATTACACACTGTCAGCTGAAACTAAATTATAAGATTTTACATATTGCCTTATAATCTTTTTTCTTTTTAGTAGTGCATTTATAATATCAATATTCAAAATATGTAACCAACTCCTTTGGTTAAAAAGTCATTTAAACGACCTTGTAATAATGTAGGTCTGTATTGCAAAAAGGTGAAACATGAAAGAATGAGTGGTTACTGAAAGGCGGCGGCATGCAGCCATTGTGCTAAATGTGTCTGACAAATTGTTACAACATCAAGGACCATTACTGACACGTGGCGCTCACATTAAATCACACTTGCCCTTTAGCCGATCCCTGGACCGCCACATCCTGGACTTCTTACCGTCCACCTGCAGGCACACCGCCCGCCGTTTCTCCAGATTGAGGAGCTCTTGGAAAAGTTCTTGTACGTTATGGTTGGTTTTGGCGGAAGTCTCCATGAAAGAACACCTCCAGCGAGCCGCCAGGCCCTCGCCCTCGCCGACGGCCACTTCTCGCTGACTCTCGTCGCTCTTGTTACCGACGAGCATGATGGGTAGGCCTTGTGTGTCACCGCTCTTAATCTGACAGATCTGCTCGTAGATGGGCTGCAGCTCCTCCAGGGACTGTCGGCTGATGACGGAGTACACCAGGATGAAGGCGTGACCCCGGGAGATGGACAGACGCTGCATAGCGGGAAACTGGTGACTGCCAGCCGTGTCAGTGATCTGCAGCGTGCAGACGTTGCGGTCGCAGCTGATCACCTGCCGGTAGGTGTCCTCCACGGTGGGTTTGTAGATTTCGTGGAAGGTGCCTTTGACGAAGCGCAAGACCAGGGAGGTCTTACCAACCCCACCCGCTCCAAACACAACCACCCGGTAGTCGTTGCTCTGCTCCGGCATGGTCTAGCCTCACCAAACCTCTTACGGGACTTCTGGGTGTAGCTGTCAGGCGTCTGACCTTACATACCCAGATGGCTTGGCAAAGCTAATGGAGAACTTGAGGGAAAAATAAAAGAAAATGGATTAAAGTAGCACACACTAAACCGAGATTTTACTGCGTGAACTAAAATATACGTGGGTATGAATTAAAGATATATTTTAAATTCTATTAAATCAATGAGTGTTAAAATTAAATAGCCCAGTGTCCCAAGATTTCTGATACCCGTAATGCAGATCGGACCAACAGGTACATTTCAGTATATTCCCGAATCCGTGCACACCTGCTTTTCCTTTTCCTGGTATCATATTTCCTATATTACAGCGCATACATGCAGAAAATACAATGCAAAGATATTATATAACATGGAAAATGCAACCGTTGCGATTGTCGTCACAAATTAAAGAATCAAACAAGTTTTAATGACAGGTGCGTGTACGACATTAATTTAATTAATGTGAGAGAGGTTGCACACAGACAACAAAAATCCCTCCACAATGGAAATCACACAATTAATAGAGCAACACGGTTTCTATACAATCTATAGGCTACTGCCGGGCATTTCATGGACTCAGCTGTTATCCCTACAAGAGCCTTTTGTTTTTTCCGTATCGTCAAGCGTGAAAGAGATCAAACCAATGTTCGGGGAACATTCATCATAAGCACTTTTCAGAATTTTTAAAGATAAAAAACGTACCATCAGCGGGATCAGGAGAATTTTTTTAAATCTAACAATTATATACGTTGCTTTAAGTAACCACTTGTTTTTGACGGCCATCTGGTAAAGCAGGTATCTTCAGAGGGTAAGTTTATATATGTCAGAGTTACGATGCCGTTAAAAGTAGACTTACCTGTGAATGGGTTCCTGCGGAATCCTTTTTTATTGCAAATGGAAATTCCAGTGTTGTAGTTATATACAAACCTCCGAATGGACTATACCATGCTATAGCAAAAGGGTGCCTTCCCGATATAGTATTTTTATGGAGATGTTTTTTTTTCTTCTAATTGTTATGCTTTTTAAAATCGCCATTTAACCATTATTAACTTTAAACGTCAAGTTACAAAGCACCACTAAATAGCCTACCTTAAGAAAGCAATGTAAACAGCTCCCCCTCTTTTTCATTCATTTATTGGTCATGGACTCGCCTACCTCCATTCATACCATGGTACAAATCAACGTGACATTTTATACAAATACGATGCTGTGTATTAATTATAACACCGCATCGCTCTTATGGTATGTGATTGAAATATGAACTTCATCATTCATAGCCATTAAACAATAAACGTAATTTTAAACACACAATATTTATTATTCCATTTCAGTGTTTATAAATGGTTAAATATGAAATCTGACCTCCGTACTACTCCCTCAATATTGGGTACGCAGTACAGTAACTGATCAATTCGTAACTGCTGTAAAAAAAATCCCGAGATCGATTACCGCCTGTCCTCCCGCTCGCCGTTTTACATTAAAAAAAATTTCCACGGTCTAGGTTAAATGTAAGGTGGTAATACTAAGGGCGATGTAAGGACACTTTGCTATATCGGCCTCTTTACAAACTTGGCGGTGTTTAAGGGGATGGTCTTGGATACGTTTTTATGTATTTAACACCTAAAAACGTGGTGAACGTATACTGCTGCAATACGCGCTCTTAACAATAGAGGGAGCCAGATTTCCAATAACACGTAGGAAGACTCGACGCAAAAATCAAACACCATGAAAACGTGAAGCAAATGCTTTATTTAAATTAGCATAAAAGCAAACATCTACACTCCCAAAATGTGTAATACAAACATCTTAATAGCATCTGGAAGAGAAGACCAAGAAGCTATCAACCAACATATGGTGATACATCTAGACGAGACTTCCCTACACATACAAATGAGCGATTTATAAAAATATACCTCTACACTGCAACATAGTGAACTTAGCATGTATCATAAGTCATCAGGGCATTAGCTAATTCGGGAAACCCACACCCCCCCCCTCCATGAAATCCTGCTAAAACCTCAGCAGCTGAAACAGATGGGGGCCTCCTATGCAGAATTGTACAGTACATGTCAGTTTCATTAGGAGACTAAAAGGGGAAACAGAGTGACAAGCAGTTGTAACTGTGAAATGCTTAAATCGACACCACTAGGAAAAGGTTTGCTGTACAAGAGATCCCTAGTAACCTCAGTCCATTGGAGGAGTTCCCTTAAAATTGTGCAACTCACATGCAAGGCTTTTACTTTCATGAAAAATTGCCCATTTTTTCACTCAAACCATCCCCCCTGGAAGGTACTTAAGCAGATAGTAACTGCAGAAAATAATTCTGTCACTCTCCTCAGTCCCCCTTCCCGTTTCTCTCCCCCACCCCACCCCTCAAAAGCACATAAACACTTCCCCCAAATGGGCATGGGATGACTGGACACAGATCGGCATGTTTTTCCACCTCTCAAACCACCACTAGGTGGAGTGATAAACCCTTCTCAACCTCCAGGTGAAACTGCATGGCCTTTTCATTTGGGGGGGTGGTTTAGGGGTGTGCCACAAAAACGTAAACTGCACGACAGACTAGATAATGTTTAAAAGCATTTTAGGGGGTTGCAGTCGGGCTGAATGTAGGCAGTGTACAGGATTAAACAACGTCGCAGGAGTGACAAGGAGTAGCTAATAAAGTTGGCATTTGGTGAAATCCCCAGGACACGGCACCTCCTGCTGGGCAGGAGGGAGAGGGCAGACTGCCAGGCTACTCATGCGCCTCCTTCCGGGCCATTCTGTAGATCTTGGTGGGTCCGTCCACATGGGTGACCGTGGTGGTCAGCTGCACGTCCTCGCCGCTGTTCACACCGATGTCACCTGGTCAGGACAGCAAATGTGTGAGGCCAAGGGGCGTGCTGTGCGATACGTCACCGGTTCCCTGCGTCACAACTTGCCTCAGAGCAGCGCGAGAGCCCGTAGAGGATACGTGCTTAGCACAGCATAGCATCGATTAAATATCCAATATGCCTTCTGGATCCATTCAGTATCAGATCCCATTACACGACTGTTGCACAATTTTGTTCTTCTGTTTACATGTTAGATAATAACAATAATGTTAATGACAACAACACTCTATTGATCAATTGTCTTTTTGCCTACTGCATCTTGTTGTCCATGACACAGATATATTTGTAGGTGAGAGCAAACATGGCAGTGAAGGGCAGCCACCTGCAGCAGCGCCCATGGAGCTGGGGGTTAAGGGCCTTGTTCAGAGTCCCAACAACATCACTTAAGATCCATTTCTCTCAGTCTGGGTCATTCTCATCAGAATCTCACATCTACCAGCGAGAAATGGACACACACACACTATATGGAAAGAAGTACTGGGACACCTGGCCATTACAGCTACAGGAACTTATGACATCACACTCTAAATCCATAGGCATCAGTAAGGAGTTGGTCCCATTCATCCAAGACATTTTGGACAATTCTATGCTTCCAACTTTGTGGGAACAGTTTGGGGAGGGCGGCCCTTTTCTGTTCCAGCATGACTGTGCCCCAAAGCACAAAGCAAGGTCCATAAAGACATGGGTGAGTTTGGTGTGGAAGAACTTGACTGGCCCACACAGAGCCCAGACCTCAACCCCAGCAAACACCTTTGGGATGAACTAGAACAGAGATCGTGAGTCAGGCCTTCACGTCGAACATCAGTGCCTGACCTCACAAATGCTCTTCTGGATCAATGAATGAAAATTCCCACAGACACACCCCAAAATCTGGTGGAAAGCCTCACCCAGGAGAGTGGCAGCTGTTATAGCTGCAAAGGGGGGACCAACTCCATATTGAAGCTAGTGGATTTAGATTGGGATGTCATACAAGGTCCTATGGGTGTAATGGCCAGGTGTCCCAATACCATTGGCCATATAGTGTATAATAATGATGCAACCATGTGACCATCCCCTAAGCCCATGGGCCAGCTGCTGAGTGAATAACTTCAGCTACTTTTGGGAGAGAAAACCCTGTGAGAGGTCAATGTCAAGAGATGGATGGTTTTAATCAGGCTGTCTGGAAGGAAGCCAGCGCACATTATGAACACCCACCTACACCCTGCCCCCCCCCTCTCCCAAAAGACAAAAGCCTGGCAGCTGAGCTCTCAGTAAACGTGTCCAATAATTATAAAAAGGGACAATAACAGTGTGACAAAGAAATATCAGCAATTATTATGTGAAATATCACATAATGGAATTCAAGTTCTGTCCCATCTGTGGATCCGAACCAGACCACGTCCTTAATCACAATGGCTCACCTTTAACAGACAGGAAAGGAATCTCAGCGAAAAGGAAAAAGCAGCATACCATTGGACTGGTCATCGCCATAGCGCTTGTGGGACGGTGCGTACAGGAACATGATGGCAAAGACGTAGAGGTTCCACATGCCGTAGATGCCAGTGAAGAAAGCGCTGTTCACCTGCACTGTATGATCACCCCAGTGCCAGTGGCCCTCGTTTACCTGACAGGTGCCCAGAGAAAGATCACACAGATCATGCAGTAATGGACATCCTGTCACCCGCCTCCAGTGAAACTCCCCTAACCATCGTATCACATTCACTTTCTCATCACAGATCATGACCAGAATACCCCATGTTCACTTCCTGTTCTGGACTCGAGTGACATTCCCACCACAGAAAAACTGTCATCTACATCCCGTTCAGTATCAGCAGATCAACAGAAGTAACCCACCTGTGAAAACAAGCACCCCCCCCCAGTGTATTACAACCATAAAAACAAGCTCAGGTGCAAGCCAAGCCTTCTCAGGCTGATGGAAAGGCACCCTGCCTGGGAGCAGGAACAAGGCTCCGGGTTTGAGAGAGCAGCAGGCTCACCTGGCTAATGATGAAGAAGATCACCGTCATGGCTGCACACGCCAGAGTGACCAGCATGAGGAATTTGAATCTGAAGATGAGGCCCTAGAAAGAGGAAGATGCACCCGATGAAGCAGGACAGCAGATCACTTAGCAAAACACCATCAGCTTCCATTCATATGGACAACGGAAGCAGATTCTCATCACTTGAACCCATAACCGTAAATCTTATCCATGCTGTCAGACTGAGTTTGGCAGTTTGATCAGGAGGCTGTGACACCCACCTCGTAGTGCAGGCGCCGGGCCTTCGACATAGCCGGCAGGGAGCTCCTCTTCCCACTGATGTTGCGGAAGACTTGGAAGACCATGAAGCAGAGGAAGAGGAAGTAGAGGCAGGCGCAGATCCCTGCCACGATGATGAAGGCCATCTGAGGCAGCGTCAAGGAACGTCCGGCTGGTTCACGCATTCCTGAGCGAGGGGCCCCTTAATCCGCACTCGCCCGGCTTAAAGCGCTTGACGACCGCCGGCCGACCGCCGTTCGCCTTCTTCCAAAATGCGGACGTCTGGAAAAAGTTCCCTCCACACCCACAGGTACTGAACCACCAAAGTAAATGTTACATTCCTGGATCAAACTCAAGTGTCTCAAGCTGTAAAAGCCTCAGTTTGACGGCAGGGCAGCAGTTAGGAAGTCGCACAGGCATTATCCCCGGACGACTAGCCTGTCAGGTGTTACCCCACTGTGATGCCCAGCCTTGTCCACCTCCAACTCTCCTCCTTCTGCTGTGGATGGCATCAAGAGGCCTGCATGTGTAGTCGGGACACAGCAGCCTCCCACGAAAGGGCTCCCTGGGGAATCACCCCTTTGTCATCCTACCCAGAGAGCCGCCTCATTCAGGCCCAGAAATACAGATTATAGGGGGTTCAGCACATGTACAACAACACACAGCCTGCACAAAGCTTTTGGGGGGGTTGGGGAAGAAAAATCCCTCATAAATGTTTAAAAAAAAAAAAAGCAAACAAATGTGTCATGTTACACTCGGCTGGCTGTATAAAAGGCTCCTTTTATGGGGCCTTGAATGTGGGCGGCGATAGGAGCTGCTCTCGGGTGGGGGAATGGGGAGGGGGGGTAGGCGGGAGACAGCACTCTTGCAACTTGTCTTTAGGGAAGAAAAGTGCTAATTAAAGTTGCATTAAAACTGGTCTGCTGCCAGCTTTCTGACTGGGAGTCACTGGCTCGTCTCCAGCAGCATTCCAGGGATTAATGGAACGGCACCCACCACTGCGAGTCAGGATGTCCTGAGGATGGCGGGACGCAGGTGAAGGCCCTGAATTGGGGGGCAGGACAACAGGTGGTGGGGGGGGGGGCGTATAAACATGCAGATGAATAAAAAGACCGATACTGGGAATGGAACCGCAGGACGCAGTGAGACCCAAATGCCTCCACAGTCCACAAGGATACAGCCAGTTCAGTGCCCACATCCGTGACCCAGACACTGTAAAACGGGTTCGTCAGCTGGACCCCCCTGGAAAACAGAAACAGCCTCCTTAGTGGAAACAACCGGAGCCTTGTCACCATGACAATTACAGCCGTTAGTCACATTTCCCAGGATTGGGAACGTCGTGTCCTGATTTGATTTAACGATTAACCCTGGATGTGCCTGCTTGGCTTTTGAAATGAAACTCCTCAGAAGACCTGCAGATGATCCTGAGGAGCACTTACTGACGGGCGGCTTGACTTTCCCACCAGGTGAACTGGAGACCTTGCTGAGGGCAGACAGATATCCGGCCTGGGGGTGAGCTCGGGCCACTGGCTTAGCGCCGTCC